GTAGGGAAAATGCCATTTTTCCTCCTTACCCTTTAGTCTACTTGTGTTTCATTGAGAAGTATGAGTTTTAGCCATGCTGGGAAAGAATAGGAGGTATAGTGGAGGTTTAAGGGCTATAAATTCCCGGAAACAGATTCTGTCCATAGTATTAATAGTAATTAAATTGGGGAATGAAACAGGTTTGTGGTGGAAGGGAGGCACTGTATAAGAAGCAGCAAAATCAAAAGGACCATCAGCAATTGACTTTATTTTTGAGTTCTGAAGGTGTTTTCAGAGAGGAATGGAGAACAGAAAGTCAAGTTAATAGTCTAAAGAGAGCAAAGAAACACATTAGCATGAAGCAAGTGAAATGTTTGCATAAGAGGGGTCCCGTTCTAAATCAATAAAGGGAAGGAAATGCAGATTGAAGGCTGAAAATCTGTCTTTGATAACTTGCCATGTTTGAATACCTGCAAACATTGCAATACATATTGTACAATTTACAGTGTTAAACGCAATTGGAGATGGAAAAGGCCAAGTCTCCATATTAAGTCTGCATTTCCATGCATAAAATCTCTAATGTTAATATTGTATGTTGCCAGTGACTTAATAGTTATCAGCTAGTTTTTGTTCTGTTTGTCTTATGGCCTGGTATGCACAACTACCTGAAGCCACATCTCCGTTCTGTTAAAGGTTGGATAGATTGAGGCAGGTTAATTTTTAACCTTTAAACAAATCTTACAACAAAACCAAACCAAAAAAAAACTTTTTAAAAGTCCAGCTTTCAGCTTGTACTTCATAGCCTGCGCTATCTATAAATGAAGAACTAAAATGTTAAATTAAAAAAAAATCATTGTGTGAAGTGTCAGTGATGTGGATGTTGTTTAGGTTGGGTCTGTTGCTACTGGCTAAGAATATGGGAAGCATATGTTTCAGCTGTTTTAAAGGGGAGGGGAAGCTTTGTCCTCTAGTGTGCACGTTGGCTATTGCACTCTAACTGTTCTATCTTCCCGAGCCATTGTGTTATAAGTAGGGGTCTACCTAAATCATGGGAACTAAATTTTCACAGGCTGGTCACGGCATAAATAGCACATTCTGGAGATGTTTCCTGAATGTGCTCTGACGACCCTGCCCCTCAGTGCTGGTTGGTTTGCAGAGAGGCCTGGCAGGGGGTGCACCATCTTGCCTGCTGGCTGCCCTTCATGTGGCCCCTCCCCTTGACACCGTTTGGTGGAGAGACCCCGCTGGAGGGACGGGGGGGGGCAGCCCAGTCTTGTCTGCTGCCCTTTGTATTGCCTCACCAGCTGGCGCCACCCCAGCCCCCAGACTGGGCTGCCACAGCAGCAGCAAGGTTTACTGGCTCCCACTGGGGAGCTAGCACTTTATTAAATGTTTTAAGTTGATTTAGCAGTTTCTGCAGAATTGCAAATTGGGTGGACATTGAGTTGTAAGTGAGCTAAATTGTGTGAAATTTGACCTTGAATGAAGCAGGGTTAAAGTTGAAACAGTTTTGCTTTCCTTGTGCCACTACAGCAGAGATTCCCAACCACCAGGCCGTGGCCCAAAGGGTTGGCTGCCAGGTCGTGGCACAAGCTTTAACCCCTGCTAGCAACAGTTGTATGCCCAGGCCACGCCCACATCATGCTGATTGGCTGGGCAAGAATATCCTCACTTGGCCAATGACTGTGACTTTAGCTTTTGAAATTGGACTGCGGTAACTATGGCTAGTCACTTCTGTATCGGTGAGACTGCCGTAGCTACTCATGTCTGGCTTGTCTCCTCCTTGTATCCTCAGCAGCTAGCTAGGTAATGTTAGCCAGCTGGCAATGTGTATGTATGAATTTTAGTTATTGTCATCTCCTTTATTGATGATGTTCCTGATGTACCTCGCAACCTCCCCTCCCCCCTGCCACATAAATTAAATTTAAATACGTAAATTAAATTGTTTCTATACCCGGTCCGCCAAAATTCTTTGAGTGAGTTTGCCGGTCCGTAGTATAAAAAAAGATTGGAAACCACTGCACTTCAGAATCATGCAGATGTAACAGCTTATTGGTATTGGCTAATATTGTTGCATCTTCCAGTATGATAATACATGTTTTGATTAGCAACCAAAAGCTTAGTGTAATAACTTTCCCACTACAGTGTTATGAATTCTCTCTTCTTTTCCAAGCTTCTCCCCACAAATAAGTTTTCAAAATAGCTTTTATTCTTAACTTTGTGGCAAAAATCTTGTAACATAGTTTACAGGAAGCCAAGCAGTGGGTGTTTTTTGGCAAATCGTTTATTGGCCAAAATACATTTTTGGTCACCTCGAGTTATAATAAATTTGGATTGATTACAACCTGAATTATTTCAGTTTAATGAAAAAATTAAAAGGGCTTGAGTACTAGCCACATGCTGGAGGTGGGGTGTGCCCCACCTTAATCTAGGCATGTCCTAGGGTGAAAAGGGGACCTTAGCCCAAATTGAATCTGGCAAAAAAAAAAAAAGGGGTGGGGGGGATTTGAGTTGAGGCTTCCCATATTGCAGATGAATAACCTCATTGCTCAGCTGCCAGATACGTTATGACCCTGAAATGTGAGCTCTAGGGCGTAAGGGGACTAGAACCAGCACTGTTTACATCTGGAAATAACGTCAGCAGTCGAGTTTTGGCTGAATGTGTTCAGTACTTTTTCCCATTTGAAACTTTTGGTGAAAAGATTCTTGATTTTTGGGAAGACTTGAAACACATTTTTAATTCTTTGTCAGTGGCTTAGCTCTAGTCTCGGGGTTTTATGCATTTATTCTGGGGTATAAAAATGCCTATTAGGCTCCCATAGGAAGTAATGTGCTGTGCATGTTTTTGCTGGTATCTGAATACATTTCCTAATACGAAGCAACTTGCTTAAGACTGTTGCCAATTGGTTGATTTTCTTTTTTCTTTTTTGTTAGATGAAAGGTGCACTGACTGAAATTATCCAGCTCGCTACCTTGGATTCAGACCCCTGGGTCTTAATGGTAGCTGATATTTTAAAATCCTTTCCAGATACTGGCTCCCTTAACCTTGATCTTGAAGAACAGAATCCCAATGTTCAAGATATTTTAGGAGAACTTAGAGAAAAAGGTAAGCTGTTGCTTTCTGCTTAGGTATTTGGCCTGAAAATACAAAATATTTGACAAATCCATTCAAAACATGATGGATAAAATCCTGGCTTTTGTGACTTCAAACCTAGATTTCGCTCCGTATGTTCTGGGTTCTACACTGAAGCAGCAAATATAGGTTTAATCCTTGTTAATAGGTTCAGTTCCGTTTGAAATGCAAGGAATGATCACCTGAGCTTGAATTGGAGTAAATCTAACGTGAAAATATCAGCTAGCTTGTACTAAATGTATATCTTGTGTTTGCTTTTTCCTCCTGTTTGTTTTTGTACTGAGGGAGTTCATTTTCTACTTAGGACATACATATATGTACATTTTAAAAAACAGTTGAACTTAGAACTGCCATGTTATAGGGCCCGTTGTCCATCTGTCCGTGGTTCCTAAAGCATAGTATAATGTCTACTCTGAGGATCTGATCCTATAATGGACTTTGTGGGCAGACTTGTATGGAAGGAGCCAACTATTGGGCCACATGAATAGGCTATATCTACCCTTTCAGCTCTTAGGAAGTCTCCCACTGATGTAGCTCCACTGATAGTAACAGGAGTCCCCTGTGGTTCAGTGATGGACTCCTTGTCTACCACACAGGAGACCTGGGTTCGAGTCCCAGACACTTCTACAACTACAGCCTTGGAAGCACCAAATATCTGGATTTAGTCTGGTCTTTGGAGTCTGTCTCGGTAGCCTAAAGGGAGGGTGAAAGGTTTGGGCAGCCTCCACTCCTGCAAAAAATCCTGCCCAGGCATATGCATCAAAGGTCTGGGTGGCCCTTATGCATACACTGTGATCCAGGAGGATCAGCGGTTGCCACTGATGGTAACAGCAGTGGCAGTGCTAGCATAGACTAATTTTGCAATTTTAATCAAATATAGATTTCTTGATGGTAAAACTGTTTAAGCTATGTGTGTGATAGTACTGCCGTAGTTACTTTAGCAAGGGATGCTATACAGTTGTTGGTACTAGCTGCTACTGTAGAAATGTTGGGGGGATTTTAATGGACAGAAATGGTCTTTGGGCCCTACAATGGAGTAGGTTAATAGCAAAACTCCTTGGAGATGGAACTCTGCATTTTTCAAAACAGAAGTGTGTCCTTTTACTAGTTCCAGTAATTTGTTGGCATTTTGTGGCTGGCCAGGCTGCTTGTACTTTTGAGATGTCTGAGAGTTAAACCTCAGCTTCTTTTAAGTCTTTGTTCTCTGCAAAAAGACTCTTAAAATGGCTTTATATTTAACAAGGCAAATCTTGCTGTACTTTTCTCCACCTTGGCAACAGGGTTACTAGAACATAAATTAATTGGCAGGTTTCTGGACCTCTGATGGCATAAAACGGTAGTTAGCCTTGCTATTTGAGTAGGTATTCCGAAGTTTAAAACCCCCTTTGCAAAACTATGTAATGGTCTTGTAATCGGCTGTAGAAGAGGCATTTATACCCACGTGTATTGTTAATTCTTTACACAGTAAGCGAATGTGAAACTTCAGCTATGTTGCCGTTGGAATGCCAGTACTTAAACAAAAATGCCTTGACAACACTTGCTGGGCCACTTACTCCCCCAGTGAAACATTTCCAGCTGAAAAGGAAACCAAAAAGTGCCACTCTCCGAGCAGAACTCTTACAGAAGTGTAAGTACTATCCCAGCTAGTTAATCAAATATTTATGCAAACTGGTTGGTAAAAGGAAAGTGCAGAATTCTGTTTTATTCTTCAGTTCAGGAATGTACATTGTATGTTCCCTTCTTAATAAGGTTATGCATCAGTTTGTGTAAAACTGCATCATAGCAAACTAAAAGCAGGTGTGAGCCTAACCAAACCATTTGGGTAATTACTGAATTAATGTGCTTTTGTAGTTTTAAAATGGTATTTAGATTTCAAAGTTCACAAGATTTGTTTGTTTTGATAGCAAAGTTGCATACACTGTGTTACATATAATAGTCAGTTGTAGAAACTTGCTAGGGAAAGCCTTCATTAAGATTCTTGCCACAAAAAAAATGAAATCGCAATGTAACTGAGCTTTATGTTGCCATATGTTTTTGCAACAGGGAGCATAGGCAGTAAGCACGTGCTTTCCTGTGCTCAGTAGGCTTATTGAGGATGAAATCCAAGAGGATTTTCACTAACAAAAAGGCAGAAAAAATAGTCTTAACTCCTTTAACTGGCTGAACTTAAAATATTTTACTGCATTCACATAGCACTCTGTAGCAATTCATGTATACCTTGTGACCTGATTAGTCAGTTTGAGTGGAAAATATCAGTATGTGTAGCTTGAATAAACTTCTATTTATCTCTTCTGCTTTTTCCTATCAAGCAGATTGTGTTACTCTAATTCAGACAATCTTATTAGCTGCACAAGCCCTCTTAATTCTGCTTTTTACTAGTATTTTATTATGTGATTAACAATTGAAACAGGTCACCAGCATTTGATTAAAAATAATTTTCATTATGAAACATTAGGATTGTCTGCACTAGACTAAACTTCAGAAGGCTCTTATGTAGGAAATATAGTCGTGTACGTTTCAGTGAAGATTTTGTAATAATTATAGCTTCTCTCCTTTTAGCAACCGAAACGGCACAACAGCTCAAGAAGACTGCAGGAGTGCCTTTCCACGCCAAAGGGAGGGGGCTGGTCAAAAAAATAGATACAACAAGTATGACTCATTTATAATATTATTATTACTTGGTTGAGAAAAATGTATCTGGTTTATGTTTAGGCAAAATGCAATGCACTTTCGCTTTTATTTTAAAAGTGTCTTTCTGTGAAGTCAGACAAGGTTCCTTGGGTGAATTTGATATCTTTTATTAGACCAACCCAAATAGTTGGAGAATAGTTATTAAGCAAGCTTTCGGGTTCAAAAACCCTTCGTCAGGCTAAGGAAGTTTCAGCAGTTGGTGTGTGCTCTTCCTGGATGGATGTGAAGTCAGAGCATTTCTGTTTTCCCTACTTAAATGTTTCCAACATCTTGTTTTAAAGGAATAAGTTTTCCCTTACTTGGTCAGTACATTTACAGCACTGCCAAAAATATAGGGTTAAATGGTACCATTAAGGAAGAGGTAGTTTGTAAGTGGCACAGTTCTAGGAGTAAATTAAGTTCTTTCTTGTTCCAGGAAATAGCAGTTGGAGTTTAACTTGTTACAATAGCTGTAAAAGTGTATGGCTTACACTTCTGTTCCCTTCCCTTCCGTCCCTGACATTCTACTCTGGCTACTGAGCTGGGGAAAAAGCCTAAGGTCTGTCCAGCTCTGCTGTCATTTCATAGAACAGGATAATACTCTGAGCTGAACCCAAGATGCAGCTAAGCAAAGGGATGGGACTTCTTACCTGGTTTGTCAAACCTGATAGTCATTCTGGTTAGCTATACCAAGGAGGAATTTCAGATTATTCCACAAGGAATGTTCACTGTTTCTTTAAAAATACAGAAAGGGGGAAAAAATACTATTGTATTTTATTGCAGTACTTAAAATAGGCTATAAGTATAAAATATATTTATCAAGAACTATGTACAATTCTTTGTCATAAAGGAAATTATACTTAAAAGCTGCATTATCAGCTCTGTCAAACTAGCAAAATGCAAAGTGTGCCTGCCTCTTGCATTCAACAGTTATGGTATTTGTAGTAGTTGCTTGTAATGTAAAGGTGCATACATGATTTCTGTTAATGTGCTGCTGCATGTATTTCAGTGGGGCAGTAGCACTCCCACAGTTGAAAGGAAATCCTGGGGGAATTTTCACAGGGGTGCAAAAAGTCTGCAGGATAAGCTGTGGTATGTTTCAGGAAGCAAGGGTTGATGATAACTCCTTCAGAAAGGTTTCCTTTAGATGAGTGCCATCACTGTTAAATGTGAAAGAATGTTTAGGATGCCTATTTATAGTGTTTTATTACTGTTCAGTATTTATCACTGTTGAAACACTACTGGATATGAAAACATACTAAGGCCCATCACAACCTTTCATGCATTCAGGAGGTTATTAAAGCCAGAAGCAGCTTAAACCACACAAGTTCTTCTGTAGCTTCCACTCAGCCTTTCCTGCCCTTGGTATCTGACACTGAGGTTCCCCAGTGCTATGTTGGGGAACGTAGGAGACCAATACTAACCATGTCATAACCAAGGTATAAGGCACTCTGTTATACCAAGTTGTGAATGTGATTTCAGCAAATGCAGAACACTTCCAATTGAAAGGGTTGCAACAGCCAGATGTATCAATCTGGAGATTAAAAGAGTATGGAGCATCTTTAGGGCTTTGCTTAACAAAGATAGATGGATAAGGAGTTCTTGGTAGAGTGAGAACTTCGAGACTGCAACATAAAAGCCAGTCTGTTTTGGCATAGAACAAATTCGTGTCAGTGGAAATCTGTGGAGTTATGGCATAAAAGGAATGACTCAACAAGGTTGAATTGGGCCCCTAATATGTATATTTTAGTATATTGCCATAAGGGTACTCTAAAAGAGAAATGTTTACAGCAAAAAACCTTACCTTGGTGGACTCAAAGTATGGAAAATGTAAATTCAGTCAAGGCTTGTGACTTATAGTACCTGTATGAAAAGGGTATCCAGAGTATAAATGAAGATGGTTTTTCTCTGTACATGTCAAAATTGAAACAATTCCAGTGAAAGTCTGGTGTGTTTTGCTTGAATGTACTAAAAATACAATGTCGATTTGCCATAGTATCTCCC